TATAAAAATATGTTTTTTGTGATGAATATGAGAATATATATACACTATATTTGTGTAAGATTATTGATTGCATAAAATAAATGAACGAATTTTAGAACAAAAACAAAAATTTGGAGGTCAATTTTGGGGATTTCCGTGATTTCAGAGATTTTCAGGATATTAGGGTTTATTGAATGAAAAGTCAAATTGATATTTTCTTTGTGAGGATTGTTTTTCATGTTATATAATATATATGTTTATAAAAATATGTTTTTTGTGATGAATATAAGAATATATATAAACAATATTAGTGTGAGATTATTGATTGCATAAAATAAATGAATGAATTTTAAAACAAAAAAAAAATTGGAGGTCGATTTTTGGGGATTTTAGGGAACAAAAACAAAAATTTGAAAGTCCAGGCATCGAGGCATAGAAGTTAATCAACAAGGGAAAGACGAAGCCGTAACCGTCACCGTAACCTGGTTATTCATGATGATGTTAATATTGAAGATGTTAAAGGCCATAATACAGAACAGGGTGGGGGTAACACAGAAAAAGGTGCGGCTAACATAGAACATGATGGGGATAACACAAACAAGGTGGGGAAGAGCATAAAGGCTGGATGAGTCTAAGAGACTTTGGCCAAGGGTGTACCACAAGAAATATTACTGACTGGCGAAAGGATACAACTGCAGCATTACAGACTCCACCAAGCCTTACTCAGATTTTTCGCTTCGTAAATCCTGATAGTGAAACACAACAATATCAAGATCCCCCTCACCGCTCTCATTACTACTAGCATTGTCAGTTGGCCTTTGTAACTTCATTAATTGAATTAATGCCAAATTCTAAATTGTCTCGCATATCTTCATAGTATTCAAATATTAATTTATATAAAAAGTCGTTTCAATTTTTTTTGTAAGATAAAATGTATGTAATATAACAATATACACTTAATCTAACTTTTTTTATTTTTTTTCAATTTTATTTTTATTTTTTTGGACTTTTTTGTAAAAAAAAAAAAAACTACTTGACCGGTTAAAACGGTTAACCACCTCCCAACTCCAAAACTAGTTAAACCGTTCCGGTTCAATTTTACGAATATTGGTTGCAACCTTAAACGATCCAATTAAGACGCACATCCAAATTTTATCATAACATGCAATTATGGTTTAAAGAATTCTTAGGATTATCTGAAAATCTATTTTCATATTTAATTATAAAATTTTAAACTCCAAAAAAACCTAAAATCAAGTAGATCTATAAACATATGAAAATCTTGAAAATGGAAAGTCTAAATAATATGTTGCAAGATGCACTATTTTTTAAATTCAAAATCTATTTTTTTTTTATATTCATAGATCTCAACGTCCAGATGATTAATTAGAGGGTTTTTCAACATTAAAACAGCTTTTTTAATGTATTTTTTATGTGCATATGTAATAAACTTTTTCCTTCTTTTATTTCTTTTTTTTTAAATTTTGGACCTTTTTACAAGTTTTATTTTCTTTTTCTTTTTTTTTTCGATGATTGGATATGGATAAGTGCGAATCAATGATCCACAAATATATTAAAATTTGGTCAAATAAAATACAAAGGTGGGGATTAAAAGGGACCTAAAAAAATATTAGACAAGCTAAAAAAAAAAAATATGAATTTTTCTAAACTTAGGTGGTGTGAGTTAATTCCAGTAGAAGACTAGAAGGCTAAAATAGATATGGTTGGAAATAGTAATATATGATAACTTATAACCTCACCGAAAGTATGACTCTTAATAGAGTAAAATAACGGACCAAAATTCGTGTGGTGAACCCTAATTGTTAAGCAAAGGCTTTGACAATAATGATAATGAGAAACCGGGCTGGTAACATGTATTGAAAGGCATACCATGGGCTGGTAACATCTATTGAAAGGCATACCCAAAAAAGGTGTTGGGGGGGGGGGAGGGCGGGGGGGCACAAAACAAATATAAGAGTTGCTTAAAAACAGGCCTCTTCACATTGAGTATCAGTGTTTCTTAATTTAACGATCAATGCAAATATATTGTATCGAAATTTCAAAATAGAAACATACAAGAATACAAAATTAAAAAAGAAAAGAAAGGTATTGGCTCATTTGGTAATGGCGGTGAACCGAGTTAAAGCAGCATACCAAATTTAACACTCAGCGGTTAATAGGGGTGTGCATCCGTTCTATGATCCGGTTCACCGCATCGCGGGTCATAACAAGTGTGTCATGTTGTAATATACTGTACACATTCAAACCCTGAGAAAAAAAGAAAAAAAAAAAGCCTCAAAATTAGCAACAACAAGAACTATTTAAGAGAGATTTAAACCACATGACGGGCAATCAGGTAAAGATATTGAGAACCACACTTGGAGAGAGAGAGAGAGAGAGAGAGAGAGAGAGAGAGAGGAGTGAGATTTGTAAATTCTCGAAAGTAGAATCAGATATGAAGTCGAGAAGATGCAACAAATATTGAGAGCGAGGTAGGAGATGGTAATCCAAACCAGTGATTTAAACAATGGATTAGTGACCCGGATAGGGCATCACAAAAACCGATCCGAATCGATGAATCGGAGGTCCGGATCGCTGTTTTACTGTACAAAGAAAATAGCAAAAAGGCGAAAAAACACGCGTAAAAATTGTGAACCAGCCAAAAACCGATCAAAAACAGTGAATCGGTGTTGTACTGTAGTAAATCACTGGCTCTCTTCTAAACCCTAGACGCAGACGATTGCCTATATATTGACAAAATCAGCACGGGTGACCAATTCCCGAGTAGGACCAAACAATTCCACGCCGACCTGGTGTTTTTTAAATCACTAATCCAAACCATAAAAAGTAGAGTAACCTAGGAAGTTGAAAAACTTACAATTGAAGGGAGGACATTAACGTAATGCAGGTTCTGCGTTGCTAGCTTGAGCTTTTCATTGATGTGTCCACCATCTACTAACAAAAGCTTCTTCACACCCTCCATTTGGGAGACATAACTCACGACATTCTTAGTCTTATGGGAAGGGACCTCCAAGTCCTCGAAAACAAGAAGCTGCCACCCAAAAAGAACCAATCTTAGGATTGTTTTCCTTCTTTTGATGGTTTTTTGTCCAAATACCATTAACATTAGGCCTGATTATTTACTATAAGGGAAAAGAAAAGCATTAAGGCTGATATTGTAAAGCGTTAAGCCTGAAATTGTTACGACTAGGCAGGCACCTAGGGTTCCCTAGGCAGTGCCCAGGGAGAGCCCACCTAGTTGGTCCGCCCAAGCGCTGGGCGGACCGCTTTTTGAATCAATGATATCTACCTATCCACATATATATGTATTCCAGTAACCAACTTGCCTTTCCCTCTGCTACACGAGCTGACAGAGCAATTTTAAGCCCTAGCCGACGAACTTTCTTTTGCAGCTTGAATGCATGGCTACGTGGTTTAGGCCCGTGCATGGTTGCTCCATGCCTAAACTGTTACATGCACAAACAGTAAAGACATGCACAAGTCTGTTTGGTCCTCCGCTATGGAACACCAAGAAATTGCAAATAAATCCCACGCCATGATGCTTTAGAGCTAGATGGGGGCATACATTAGTAAATAAATTGAAGAATCATCAAGCTATGAACAAATTTCATGTTACGCATCCCCTGACTTATGTATTCTACCACAATGTTGAGTAATATACCAAAAATTGAACAAATTTAAAAGAAATTACCTGCGGCCCACGCAATGTTCCATGCCGTGCTCGACCAGAACCTTTTTGCGGCCACGGTTTTTTGCCCGTTCCACTTACTTCACTTAAGGTTTTCGTTGAGTGGGTTCCCTGTGTACGAGCAGCGCAAGAAAGGAACCATTGCATATGTCAAATTAAACAATTAGACAGACATGGAAGAACAAATAATACAAAGAACTCATACCACACATTAGTTGTGTTTGGAATATAGTACACCCCAGGGACATCTACCCCATTCGTGATGAAGATAGAGAGATTAACCGCACCAAGGTGATTATCCGCCATTAGGGACTACATTCAATGCTCAGTGAATATTTTTCAGAACTGATAAGCGATGTGCTTCACACATTCTATATACCATTAATGTATGCCATAGTGTCCCAAGAACAAAACTAAACTTCTTGATGTATGCTATAGTGTCCCAAGAACAAAACTAAACTTTTTTTTTTTCCTTTGGATCGTTCATGCTAGGATTTGAACTTGGGCATGGTACTGCAAAGCTCAACACCTTAATCAGTCAACATGCCCAAAATCCCAAGACTAAACTTGATAAGAGAAAACATGCAAAAAAATTTAAATCAGTAAGAAAACATGTTATGTCTATATGACGAGTATGTGTAGGAAATAGTGTTCCAAAACTGCTATATGCACAAAATGAAGTGCTGGAGGATAATTGAATTAATTAACAAAAATGTGGATTTGAAGATAAAATGGATTCTGTGCTTCTGACACCCTCAAAAAGAAGATAATTGAACTTATTTTTTCGCTATCATATAACAAGGCCCCTAATTGCAACTCACTACCCATAAGAAGTTCAGATTGGTCTAGACTGAAATAGTGAAAAATGCAAATGCTTCATCCCCACGTTTCTCGTCATCCAACAATTACAGTAAATAAACACAATATAAAATAAAAATACCAGAACTCTCAGAAATTCTAATGTTAGTGTATTGCCATATCTCAGTGTTTCTCAGAAGTCGGATGTCCTAATAGTATAAAGCACCGTATAATGCATTTTGGAACCACCCTCTCCCAAATTGTGGTTTCTAACAATAAAGAATTTATATTCCCTGTGAATGTGTGCACTATTATGCAAGATGTATACGTGTGTGCACACAGCTAGATGATTAATGGATCTATACCTACCCACACCAAAACCTCCGCCAAACGGAAAAGCAAACAAAATTTAAACCTCAGGTTACCCCTGGAATCTCAATATATCAAATAACTGAATGGGGTTATTCTAGTCTAACTTCTCTCAGCATCCACCACCCTTCTCGGTGCACAGAGCAAAAGTATTCCCATAAAGAAAACAATCACCATAAAACTAGTTCCTAGAGAATGTAATATGGAAAACTCTCTCAAAAATTCAGTACTGTGACTAACTGAGAATAAATGAGTGCTTCAACTTTGTTTAGAAGGCATGAGTATCAAGATAAAAATATTAATACTTTATTAAAGAATTCGAACAAGTTTACACAGTACCTGCTGTCTTTTTGCAAGTTGCCACCTTACAACCCTATGAACAATGTCTTTCCGAATTGGCACATCAAACACATCACCAGCCAAGACCATCAAACCCATATCTTCATTATGGAAATTTGTTACTCTTGCAACTAGATCCTCATATAATCCTACAAACCAAAAAATATATTACGCCAATATACAAGTCTTCCGATAGCTATTCCCTTGATTATATTCATCCAATCCCAAGCATTATTTTGCAATGGTACACTTTTCTTTTTTCTGGAAAGAACAAAGCATTCTTCTAATACAACCATCATATGCTCAATTGAATGAACATCCTCAATCTAATGTAGTTCATCATAAAAACATATAGTAAAGCAGTGTTTATGGCCCCACTAGGCACACACTTTTTGTTTGATAAAATAAGGAAAGGTGTATAAGGAAATTATTGCAAAACATGCTTTAAATCTACATACAGATATATTTCAAGTCGAATTCATTAAATGAACATGTGAACATCAAAGGAATTTTAATTTGATGGTATATGCTTCCAAGAATAGTAGAATGAGGCAATAATCCCAACAACAATTTAAAATAAATGATCACAATTCTTATTCAATAAAAACAATTGATCAAAATTTAAATGCTCCCAATATTACAAATGCATGTGAGGAGTCAGTACAATAAATGGGCTATTTGTTTGTTGATATGTTTATTATGTATTGGTTGCTTGCACAGACAAGAAAAGGTCCCAACATGTTAATAAATGAATAAATGGACAACCGAAAACAATTAGTTTACAATGCTGCCTGAATCATATTATAATGAGCACGTATAGCATGCTTCCGCTATAAAACAACTCCCTCAAGCAAACGAGTAACTTTAAGAGATTTTTTTGATATGCAATTTTGCATTCTAGTGAGCACGTATAGCATGCTCTTGCAGAAGCATACTGTGCAATAACTCCCTCAGGCAAAAGAGTAACTTGTGAATAAAAAATTTATCCGAAATTTTGGGATCCAAGTATCATCAGATGATTATTTTTAAGGAAAAAATAAAATGGAATTTAAGTTCTTGAACACCAAGAGTTTTGCCCTCTGAAAATTGAACAGTTCTTGTTCAATCCTGGAACATTAATTTTTCTACGGTACATGGAGAGTCCTATTTTAGAAATTTTTTCTTTGAGATTGGTTGTTAGGTTCTAGAGTCTACATCACCAAAACATGAGGTCCAAACAATATCCCTAACATGAGTTTTACTCTGAGGGAGTAAATACACAGTATCCTCCCCAGCAAATCTTTTCACTATTCAAACAATATCATAGACACAAAGGGCAAGACTAAATGAAAATCTACAAACTATAAGGAGCACTTGTTTACATCATAACATGTTATAAATACTTAACACTGCCAGTTTGCATCCAGTTGGTCAGGGCAAGGAACAGAAAAGACCATACAGACCATGGAGTTTGGACCAAAATTGGAATGCCACGATCAGCAGTTTTAGCTTCGTGATTCATTAATGAAGTACAATGGCATCAGAGGCCCTTTGGTCAAATCAGAAAAGCAGTCTCACTTTGCAAAGGGTCAAGAACATTTGCATTCATAGTGTCAACAATTGTTTCATTAATCGTCAAAACTTGGATGCTATGGCATGAAGTGGGCAAGAGAGCAATGAGCTGTCCTGCCCCAACAAAACAGGGCATAAGGATGACATACTGATTCTAATCCAGCCACATATGTTTCATTCAGCTATTACATTAGCTTCGCTTTGCTTATTAATCCCCTTGAAATTAAATTAGGGCAAGGACATAAAAGAAGGAAAGAGAAGGACATAATTGATGTCAGAATATTATGAAACGGATAAGATGCTAAAATTGAATAAAATGAGTCTAGGCAACCAAAATAAATAAATAAAATAAGTAAAATAGAAGTACCATACATATGTAGGATTACAAAGAGTAGAACTTACCAAGCAGGTTCTATTCCAAAGAGTCCTCCCCAGGCCCATCACAGAGCCACAATCCAAGAAACCAGTAAACAATACCTCCAAATAATTGACCATCTCTAATCCTGACTAGCACTTCCCCGGACACCTGTATCCATAGATTTGAGGTATCCCTAGTAGCCCAACATATTATATTCTGAGAGTTCCCTTCGATCATTAAGGCATCAAAGATGCCCATCAATATTTTTGTCCCAATACGACAGGGGGTATCCTTGCCTCCAACAAACCAACAACTCCAAAGGATCCAATAATGCCTTCTTGACTTTATTGTTCCTGAATAAAACACCATTGTTGGCCTAGATTCCCATAGGATATGTTATGTAAATCTACAATGTCCCATGCGGAGGATATCTACCAAAAAGAAAAAAAAACATTCGAAGGATACATCCATCCATTACCTCCCTATTCACAATCTCAAGGCACTTCACTTCCTGGTACACATATAGACTTCCGTTCCCATGCTAGGTACTCCACTCTAACCCAATAAATTCTACCTGGAAAGATTCCAGGAGATGGGGCTTATCTTGATTTTTCTTTTCCACAACCACCATAAATTCACTGTAATAAATATTTTTCCCTAATGAGCACCCAGAAGATAGGGTCACCTTGACTCTCACCGACAAACACTACCCTAAATTAACCCTAAAAAGTTCTATGATCACACTCCCACTGGCCCAAAAAGAAAAGCTCTCTTATCAAATTTTTAGGAAGTACCACAAACAGCTCTGCGAGGTCAATTCTCCAAATATGATGTCATATAAAATTAAACAGAACTGTATTAGTTGGGGCAGTGAGAAAAAAAATATAACATCAAGTCTAGTGATGAAGTAGAGCCAAACCAACACCCTACAATGCTATCAGCAAAGTATCCAGCTCTATTCACGGTTTAGGGGTTCAAATTTCATAGATCAATGCTCCTCATGGGGTCACACTAAATTTATATCAAATTAAAAGTTTTGTACATAATAGGGTAGTAAGACAATGTGATATCTAAGTCTTGTGATAAAGTAGAACCATGCCAACACCCTACAATGCTACCACTGGATATCTCACCCTATTGCCAATTTCAGGTTCAACTTTCAAGGACCTACCCCTCTTCACGGAGATAACACTAGTATTACTAGAATAGTCACCAACTCACAAAAGTTCGCAACAATTCTAAAGACATTAAAAATAATTATCATTTGAACAGGGGACAGTTAATTTATGGCATCATCAGCTTTCCATATGTTATAACAAAAAGCTTGGGTATTTATTCATCATTAACTAGATGCATACACGATTACTTATTTACAATTTTTGTCTCCCATCAGTTGACATTCTAGCTGAAGAGGTGGGATGTTGTGAGACATATATAACAAAGCATTTTGAATGTTTTGTGCACATGTATGTACCATGGCAAATTTACACCGTGTGTGGAAGGACCATTTATCAACAGATAAGTCTCTTTACTCCCATGGTCATTTAGGAAAGGCAGAGGGAAATAGTTATGTCTGCTCTGCTATGCCCTGCATGCTAGAAAATGCCGCCAAAAAACCCACAACTCTATGAAGAAATACTTCCAAATAACTCTGTTCTTTAATGGAATTGTTCAGCTGTCAAAATGGTTCCTTAGTAATTCATAATAGTGTTTGCAAATTACCTTTAAAAGTCTAGTTATTTTCTATTCTTTTATTGTTATTTTATTTTGTAAATTATTACATACGAATAAGCTATTCAATGCCTCATTTTAATCAGTAAGAAACATATTTAGCCACTGCCAAAAACACACACAAAAAAAACCAAGAAAAAAACACATGAAAAGAACAACCCTTGTCCAAATCATATTTCTCCTTTGATAATATCCCTTAAAGCACACCTAACCTATTTTCCATGTGTTCTAGTATGCCTCACTAGTAAAAAAATAGGTCTTGCAATTGTTAAAAAAAAAACATTCTTATGGAATGACAAATGAAACAACAAAAGATAGATGGGGTGTTTTAAAAATGAATATAAACTCATGATTTATGTACACAGCCATCTAATATACCTGGAGTGCGTTCTGGAGTTACCACTTCTTTCTGGGTTAGAAACTCCCGAGGGATGTCACCTTCAGATGTTTGAGGAGTCAAGACAGTCGTGGAAATACTTCTTGTCAAGAACGGTAACTGGACCTGAATCATTAAAATTACAAAGTCATGACAAAGCTCTTCGTCACACGATGAAACATGTGGCATGATGCCAATTCATAGCCATCCCAACAACAGGTTCTCAAATAGCCCAATTTGAAATCATTTTACATATGATCATTAATATTATCGAGAAAGAAAATATTGTACAACTAAGATTCTGCAGTGTTTGACCATTATGCATTATGATAAAACTGAATTCCAAAGGGATTACTATGAAACTTAAATACATACAGATATTGAGGATAATCTTGAGAAAGAAAATACAAATTATTTCTGCAGTATTCAACAATTATGAATGCAAACATCAAAACAACATTAAGACCACCACCATTACTAAAATCTCCATCAAACTCTTTTTTCTTTTTTCTTTTTTCTTTTTTCTTTTTTCTTTTTTCTTTTTTGCAACCAATCTAAGGCGTAAACCATATAATTAGAAACTAAAAGCAAGATCTACATATCTGTTTATTAATTTTTCCAACTCATCAAACTTATGAGCCACATTATGAAGTTGTAGAGAGAGTGATTAAGCAAGGACTACAGTATGAAACGAGTGTATAAGAAACCAATTCGGTTTTATGCCAAGGAGGTCAATAATTGAGGCTATCTTCCTACCTAAGCAGGTGATTGAGAAGTTTAGGGCGAAGGGAAACGACCTCCACATGGTCTTTATTGATATAGAGAAAGTTTATGATAGAGTACTTCAAGATTTAATTTGGTGGGTGTTGGAAAAAAAAGAAGTTTTCATATACTATATCAACTTGGTGAGAAATTTGGGTTTTCTTTTTCTCTTTTTTTAGGCACTACTGTACATGATGTAAGGGGAAATCATATAACCCCATTTTGTATACGGGCACAAGATGTAAGGGGAAAGCCTATAACCCCATTTTGTATACGCTCCCTTAACCCATCCTTTTTTTACCAGGAGTCTCTCCAGGAGTAACCTCGTACCCTCCCTTCTTCACAGCAATACAAAAGTTAACAGTTATCAAAAAAAAAAAAAGTTGGAGAGAAATTTGTACGAGAGAGCGCTAACTATTGTGCAAACAACTAGTGGAGAGACAAATGAGTTTTCAGTGATAATAGGTTTACATCGGGGGTCTACATTGAACCTATATATGTTTGTCTTAGTTTATAGACAACTTATCTAGGCACCTACAAGATCAGGTACCGTGTTGTATGTTGTGTTAAAATTAAAACAAAAACAAACAGGTCTTTATTACCTCTTCTTTTATGCCTGACTGCTTTACTTTGGGTGGTACAAGGGACCACACTTTCTTTCCTTTCTCTTTTACCTCTTTATCGGTTAACTCTTGGAGTCTCCTTGATTTCCTTAAGTTTTGGGTGACATGTGGCACCTTCTCATTTATCTCTCCTTTTTAATACCCTTTATACTTGCCACATGGTCATGATGTGTTGACATCACATGAGATCATGTTATGATAATGATGTGGGCCATTGTTTTCATGACCTATCATCTTGTCCTCCCTTATATATTCGTTTTCAATTTAGAGAGAGAACAAGATAGTTGGTTGGTGAGTGAAAATCTGAAAAATTGTACTACTCTCTCTCTCTCTAAGTGCATTTTCGTTATGACTTATGATGGGTATGCCATGTTTCATGATGTCCATTTACTTATCATAGAGATTGTTACAGCTTTTTTAATGCCTAAGGGAGTATCTTTCTGTTAATTCAGAGAAGTTTTTTGGGCATAATTTCAAATAGTTTGTTGAAATATTTTGGTAACAGAGAAGAACATATCGGTATGATTTCACTGGGGTTTGAGCGGATCTTTGAACGTGCAATTCAGAGATTCAAGAATTTCTTCCTGATCTGGCTGTATCCTGGGAGTGTTCTCGCTGGGTACCGTTTGAATATTGATTTTCTAACCAAGTCGGTGGCGTTAAAAACTTTGAAGAAAGCAAGCTCCTCTCATGCCTCCAGAACCTCCGAAACCTGCTCTGATTCCTACAGGAGTTGACAGGTACTGGGAGTGTTTTGTTCCCAGATATAACCTCGGAAACCTACTCCGATTCCTACGAGAGTCTGAGTGGTACTAGGAGTGTTCTAGTATTATTCTTTTGTCACAGATCTCGGATAAGGGGAGGTGCTGCCAAAATTTTTCTAGGAATTGAGATGGTAAGTTAGGCCATCTAAGTCAGGCCATCGACTGTAAGTTAGGCCATCGACTGTAAGTCAAGCCATTGACTGTAAGTTAAGCCATCAACTATAAGTTAGCCCATCGACATTAAGTTAGGCAAACAACTGTAACTCAGCCCATCAAACGACAATCAGGTTTTAGACCGTTTGTCAAGGTATCCACAAACTGTCTAGTTATCTACCGTGACTGAAACTAACAATTTCAAAGTGTTTAAATTTACAAGATGGCTGCTGGAAGCTCACTGAAAGCAATGACCCAGGATTTCGTAAACTAGATCTCTTTGAAGGAATTAATTTCAGAAGAGGGCAATCTAAGGTCCTATTTCTTCTAAGAACCTTAAAAGTAGAGTATGTAATAAGGAAACCACGTCCCGCTGCTCCAACTAGTCCCTCGGAGAATACCGGTGATCAGATTACTTCAGATCGGATTACCGAAGAAATTGAAGCATGGGATGAAAATGATTACATATGTAAAGGGCATATCCTGAATGCACTTAGTGATCCTTTGTTTGATCTTTACTCATGAATGTCAACTGCAAAAGAACTCTGGGAGGTTCTAGAAGCCAAATATAAAGAAGATGCTTGTAGAAAAAAGTATCTCATTAGTAGATACTTAAATTTTAAAATTACGGAAGAAAACTTAGTACTGGCTCAAATTCATGATTTTCAAATCATAGCCAATGAACTCGCATCTAATGGTATTAAATTTGATAATTTATTCCATGTTGAGGCAATAATCGATAAATTGTTGCCTTCCTGGAAAGACTACAAGAACACACTGATGCACAAGTCTGAAGACTTCAGCCTTGAACAGTTGATGACCCATTTGAGGATCGAAGAGGAGACCAGACTTCGAGATAAGAAAGAATATAAGTCTCAGATGGCCATCAGAGCCCATGCAGTTGAAGGTTCGAGAAAGAAGAAGCCGACGACTGAAAAAGGAATGAAAATTGAAGATAACAAAGAAGAAAAGAAGGACTCGAAAGTTTAAAATACAAAGATAGTTCAGGCTAAGGGTAAGAAACCCCCGGTATGCCATTTTTGCAACAAAGCCGACCATATGAAGAAATTTTGTAGAATTAAAATAAGATAGCAGGCTCATGCTAATGTGGCCAAAGAAAAATTTGTCGCTATGATCTTTGAAGTTAATGGTGTATGGTAGGTCGACTTTGGAGCTGCCAGGCATGATTGTAACAATAAAAACATCTTTAGGACCTATGAAATGGTGGGGGAGGAAACTGCCCTGTATATGGGCAATTCTTCCTCCTCTAAGGTACTTGGTAAAGGGACAGTTGAAGTAAAATTCACATCCGGTAAAGTCCTCACCCTCATGGATGTAATCATGCCCTGAAGTCCGGAGAAATTTGATGTCAGCATACCTTTTGAACAAGAGGGGTTTCAAACTTGTTTTTGAGTCCGACAAGTTTATCTCGTCAAAGAATGATGTCTTTGTGGGAAGGGGTTACGCTACTGAGGGTATGTTCAAGCTCAATGTTCTCGATGAAAAAGGTGCATCTTCTTCTGTATATATGCTTGACTCCTTTTCTTTATGGCATGGTAGATTAGGTCATGTTAATTATCATGCATTAAAGAAAATGAGTACTTTAGACCTAATTCCTAAGTGTGAGAATTTAGAAAATACTCTGTGTGATGTATGTGTGCGGTCAAAGATCACAAGAAAACCCTTTCCTAAAGCGGAATGAAGTTCTAGGTTACCGGAATTGACACATAGTGATGTCTGTGATCTAAGAGGCGCACAGACTCATGGTGGGAAGAAATACTTTGTCACTTTCATAGATGATTTCTCAAGGATACACCTATGTTTATTTGATTAGAAACAAAGATGAAGTATTTGAGAAATTCAAGGTTTACAAAACAGAAGTTGAAAACCAACTGAATTTAAGAATTAAGGTTTTCAGAAGTGACAGAGGTGGTGAATATTGTTCTGTCGACTTCACTAATTATTGTGAAGAAAATAGAATAATTCACCAGGTTACTGCCCCATACACACCATAACATAATGTTTAGCCGAAAGGAAAAATCACACTCTTATGGATATGATGAATGCCATGCTCATCAATTCTTACCTCCTTGCAAATCTTTGGGGAGAGGCTTTCATGTTTCCATGTTTCATTTTAAATCGGATACCATATTCAAAATCTTATATTACACCATATGAACTCTAGAAATGAAGGAAACCTCTTTTAGGATTCCTCAACGTTTGAGGTTGTGCAGCTTTGGTAAGGCTTCCTGACCTTAAGAGGCCCAAAATTGGACCTAGATCCGTCAATTGTGTTTTTGTGGGCTATGCTAATTACAACAAAGCATATAGATTTCGGGACCTGAAATCTAATGTAATTATAGAGTCCACAGATGCAGAATTTTTTGAACACACATTTATTGGTGAGCAAGATAATGAATATGAAGAACAACGAAATAAACATAAAATTGGTGAGCATGAGAACCCTGAGGATTTAGAACCCACGAGAAGTAAGAGAATCAGGAAACCAATAGATTTTGGTCCTGATTTTCAAATGTATCTTTTGGAAGAAGATCCTAAAAATTTCCAAGATGCCATGTCCTCACGTGATGCTTCTTTTTGAAGGGAGGTAGTTACGATGAGATGAAATCGATTCTGGAGAATGATACTTGGATATTGGTCGATTTACCTTCTGGTTCTAAGCCCTTAGGATATAAATGGATTTTAAGGCGGATGGTACTATTGAAATGTAAAGCTAGACAGGTTGCAAAAGAATTTAAACAAAAGGCAAGGTTGAGTTCTTTGACACTTATGCTCCAGTCACACGAATTGCTACCAATCGAGT